AGATTTGTGCTCAGTGTCGATGGCGACAAATAAATTGTTTTATGACTTGTCTGTCGGTTTGTAGTTTGATTGGTTTTAGTGAGCTATGAGTGATGAATTATTGGACATGTATGTCGTTAATTGTTAAACTAGCATTTCACCAATTCACCGTCTGTTAAATCGTACTTGATTACTTCAGCCTGTCCAGGGACTGCAGGTGGAAATTAACTTTGTTTTTTAAGTTTATTTGCCAATAACCTGGTACTATGTATCTCTCCTTTTAAAAGGTTAATGAAATGTTGTACACTGTCTTTGTGTAAATAAATAAACAGTAAACAGCACCATGGTGTGTTCTTCTATGAAACACAGTATCATGTTTAGTTGCACATGTTGTGTTGTATTGGTCTGATCACATATGTCCTTATGTGCCATTTTTGTCAGTCGATTGTGTTTTAATGCCTGAGTTCTTTGACGTCTTTTATTCCCACATACATAGATTTTTGTGTTGACATAAAAAAAAAGATAAATTTTTCTAATGGTTCTTGAGACTCCTACTGCTTTTCAGCTCAGTTCAGGACTTCGTTAACATCAGCCGTTAACGCAAACTGCTGTTGGCGGCCGTCATGTAGAGGCTTATCCTTTCATGAAAACATCCATTTAGCATCCCATCTTTCCGTCGCACCAAAGGTTCTCAATCGTCCTGCATCTTCCTGCTTTCAGCAAGCACAGTGTCAGTTTACTGGAGGGCGAGTAATGAGCTTCATTGCATTAATATCAATGGCTCCTCCTGTTAGCTGAGGGTGGTCAAGATGGGAATGTTCAAGTGTCTGACCTATCTCTGCCTGTCATGCATTTAAAAAAAAAATCAACAGAATTGAATGGGATCGGCAAGCAGATTTACATCCTGAAAAACGTAATTAGAGGCTCCTTTGCCACGGTTATCTTTCATCTTTTTACTTTCTGAAGTCTCTGCTGTGAGGTTGTGAGGCGCTGCAATCTCACCTGCACTCTTTCAACAACTGCAGTTCAGATTACGCAAACAGTTTAAGAATCATTCTGAAGAACCTGAACAGTGAAGAACTTTTATTCTTCCGTTTCAGTCGAAGTTGTCGGTGAAACACTTGCATATCTTTGTTTGTCTACCACACTCCTGTCTAGAATTGAATATTCTACGGTCCGACAGCTGAAGGAACCACACAAGTTCAAATCTGAATCAGATGTAAGGAAGCTGGGTGGGAATAAATGCCTCCAAACTCCAATGAATGGAACCAACTTTGTTACAAAGAACAGGTCAAAATTCTTCCCCGTGCAGCGAAAGTCGGGTGCTTAAAGTCATTCAGAATGCGACTCCTTCCAGTTCTTTCTGCTTAAAGTGGTTCTGCAAACTATTGAATAATCAGGTGTGCTCTGACTTCACTTATTTCCACTTCTGCTGCTTGGGCTTCAAAAACACCAACAGGCATTGACAGCAGCAATTACTGCCACAGAAATAAGAATGCGAGTAAGAACATTTCCAAAATGATCAAGACCAAAAAAGTTTGTAAAAATATAGAGTCCTATCCCATGCGCTTTGCGAAGTTGATCAAGTTGATCACATGTTCTGGTTTAGAAAGATTGAATTGAATGTACTATCATCTAAAGTAAAGTAGGAACCAAATTAATTTCTTAAGGCCACGGTTTCCATTTAATGATGCTTTTCTGAGTGTTCTTCACCAATGCTGAAATGGACTTTGGCAGTCATTAAATAATACACCCGGTGTATTAGATACCGCCCTCGTACAGAGAAATGTGGAAAGGAAGTCTCCTTTCCACAGCTTATGCTTTCAGAGGAAGCTTGTAAAAAAAAAAAAACTATGCCTCTAATAAATACATGAGCTTTATAAAAAATAAAAAGCCTGTCGAATATGCACAAAGTTGAGAGCTACTTTTGCGAAGTAGAAGCGTGCAGCATGCAACGCCACGCTTCATGTGACTGGAGGATTAGGTCTGGATGCTGCATGACGGATGAGCTCTTTTCTCCTCTGATGTGTTCGGAGCTGAACTCAGGAATGCATCCTGAGTCCCGTATTCTGGGCCTCCAGCACAGAGCGGACTGAGACCGGACCCCACATCGCACACGATCTGCCGGGTCGGTCGGCCAGAACCAGAAGCAGAAGGTCTGAGAACTGATCTGCAGTGGAAAGCAGAAAGTGTTGAGAAAGACATAGGCACCAGTGTTTTTCAGACACACTAATACACCACTAAATATATTTTGTGTTGAAAGATAGCACATGAGCGTTCCTCAATGGTTGGACAGGAGCTTCAAACTGAGTCACATAAAGAGCAAAAACTTTAAACATGGACTTGAAACATGGACGGCCATTTTCGTGGTTCAGAAGCAGTGCTTCTGCTTTCTTCTGGTTGTCACAGAGCACTGTAGAGACCTTGATATAATATTTTATCCGCAAAATAGACCTGTCAAATGCATGAAGGGATTTAGCCAAAGTCCAGCATCCTGAGACGGTTCACCAGGAGGAAGGAGAAGGCCAAGGCGAGTACCAGAACAGTCATCCAAGAAGAATCAGCAAGGATCCTGGAAAATATCAAAAACAAGGCCCCAATTACGATCTACTAAATGCATTTCTCAAACCGTAGAAACTCAAGAGAAGGACAGAAAGGACGATTCTAGAAACAGAAGGAGTGAATGGCTCCTTTTGGGATTCCTCAACTGAACGTTGTTGCCACTGCCAACAATCACAGCTTCATGCCTCGCTGGATATCTTGCAGCAGGCAGTGGGTGAGCCAGGCCATGTCCTCTGGTTTAGCTGAATATCTGAGAAGTGGTGAAGAAGGGGTCACCTTCCTGGGATATTTAGGTCATCATTAAGACGCACTCGGAATCTTCAAAGTGTGGCTTCCAGCAGTCTTGCTCTAAATCCCACCGGCGCTCCGGTCCTTTCCGCCGTTTTTTCGCTGAGCATTTCATGAACACCTCTTCCTATCGTTGCACCGTTCAGTCTGCATGCTTCAGAAAAGCTTCCACTGAAACTTAAATAAATTTGCTGAACTATTGTCAGACCAGAGGTTCAGTCTTAATCTTTGCAGATGTTTTGAGTTAATCAGCTGAGTAGAATCTAACACCATCAGCTCCCAATATCCTTGGACATTGAATTTTTGGATCCCGATGCCTGGTGTCATGCTAATCAAGACCTTGAGTCTCCAGGTCTTTCTTAAAGTCGTAATTCACCTAAAATCACCGTTAGACTAACTGAGCAGTCATTCGTGTTGCCTTCGCCGTCTTGCCTCAAACAGACGTGCTCTGCAAGGATTACAGAGTGAGAAGAGAAATTGAATTGTATCTAGTTAAATGGCATGAGGAAGACTGGGTTTCATTATTACAGTCTGTGCTCTCAGTGCTTAACGGGTCACACCTGACTCATTAAACACCAGGAACGAATAAAAGGGAAAAAAAAACCCAGAAGAAGTAGAGCCTGGCGTGGCGCCGTGGCTCTCAGGACATGATGAAAGCCGCGTTTCTAAAAGCCATTTGCACTTCACAAGAGTCTTTTTAGCACACGGCTTGTTATGACAGTTAGGCGAAAGACACGGGGGTAATCCCACTGCCACTGTTGCCAGAATGGCTGTCAAGCATCACAAAGGCAGGCGCTCGGCCGCATCTGTTACTCGGCCGACGTCTGTGGCAGGGATGCTGACGCACTGTGGCTCGATGCGACGTGGACATTTACACGGCTGCAGTGAAGCCCAAAGAAGTGAAGGACTGTTTAAAACAACAACAACAACAAAAAGCTAATTGATAGTTTACTTTTGTAAGAGTATCTAGGAACTTTTAATTTGTAATTCATGACATCCTGTTTGCCTGGTGAATTAATATAACACAGCACTGAGTCTCTATAGCTTGTTTCTTTCCCAAATAGCCCCAGACCATGTCAGGCAGCCTGTTCCTCTGGTGTTACATCTGTTGATGCAAACTTCAGTTTTGGCCTGTAATATTTCTGAAACTGAAATAACCCTGGATGGATTACTTAAAGACATACAGCAGAACCTCCTCCTTCCTGGACGGAGAATAGACCTGGAGAACAGACCTGGAGGTAGACCTGGAGGTAGACCTGGAGGAGGTAGACCTGGAGGTAGACCTGGAGGTAGACCTGGCTCTGACGGAGGATGGATGCTCTCAGAGCAACACAGGCTGACTCAGTTGAACATTAACCTGTCATTGACAGCCTATCAATGGAGATGAGTCACGCTGAGGACTCTTAGTCACTCTTCTTGGGTTTGTTTTGTGTGTGTGTCGCTTATAGGCCAGTACATATTTTGACAGTCTCCCTTTTCCACAAGGGATCTGATTTCAGTCCGTGTCGCGATGATGCGCAGGCTGAAGGATTCCTCTCATCTTATTGCGCAGGATGATACTGCAGCTCCGCTACGGCTTCACTCCAACCCAACTTGAAACTGCTCCCTTTGCATGGCTGCGTTCAGGACCCCGCGACTAAAACAGTCAAGCTTTTACTTTTCAACCACACTACGAAAAAGGCGTTTCGATGAGCCTTTACGGACTGTAGAGGCCGTAAAGCGCCACATTTGAGAGTTTTCTAAAAATCAGAAAAATGATAGATGCGATGTTGATCGAACACTAATCACGTATCAGTAAATATTCATTTTAAAATGGGTGTAAATATATTGTTTTGGATTGGGGCCGCGCTGAAACTATGACGCCAAGCAAACCAAATAATTTATTTCATGTTTAATCACGCGAAATTGATGAAACGTCCAATCAAAGCGCGAAACAATCGCTCGGCGGGGAAGCTCGGAACTTCTAATCTATTTTTATTCACGTCCAGTGAACGCACCACTCCGCATGTGGAAAGGGACAGCACAGGTAGCCAATCGGCGGCCGAGATCTTGTCGCGCGCGTCAATGAAACAAGCGCGGAGGCGGGAGCGCGGCTGTCTGAAGGGCTGCTCTCGGTCTCGCGGCGCCGCCTGCTCTCGTCCCATTGGCGCAGGTGATCTGTCTCAGGATGCGCGAGGAGAGCGGAGGAGAGGGGAAGAGAGAGGGGAAACCGCCGATGGTGAAGGGTCCAGGGCTCGGTTAACGGGGGGAAGCAAGGATACCGGCCCGTCTCTGTTTGTCCTGGGCAGTCGGGCAATGACAGACGCACCGAACGGGGGACTTTGAGATATGATGAGGCTTTTTTCTGGTTGGTTATAGTACTATGATTTGGTATGTGGCCACTTTGATAGCAAGTGTATTCAGCACCCGAGGAACGGCCGCTCAAGGTGAGTCGAAGTGCAGCATCTGCATCCACCGGCGTCCTGTGTTTAAGTTTGAACTCAGCATTTTTTTTTCTCCCAGCCTTTCAAACAGCATTTTGCTCGCCTGCTTATTTATTTATTTATTTATTTATATTTTTTTTCCAACTTTGCATGCATGTCTGGAAGTTCGTGTGTTCATCACCTGGAACCGGGCGACACATAACGAGGGAAAAGAACCGGTTCAGTTTTATTTGAGCAGCAATGGCAATGAAACCCGCTTCTTCTCTCTTGGAGTTGGGTTTTCACTTATTGATAGGGCTGTCAGAGATGTGACGTTTTTGGCTTTAGATGAAAATCATTTGCAGTCAATTATTGTCATTATTTTTTAAATTTATTTATTTTGACATCATCATCCTCCCCAGATGCTTTAGTTCGCGTTGTTTTAGCTCCGGGATCATTTCGTCTAAAAAATGTGAGGAGGAACGGGATTAGTGCGGTGTGGATCCGGTGTGGATGTCGTTCAAAACGCCGTGAGTAGATTAACCTCTTCCTGTAAAAAGTGAGTCGTGACCTCTTCTGTCCGCCAGAGGGAGCGCCTGGTCAGTGAGGCGACCGCGAGCAGCTGACTGCTCTGCTGTCACTCCTGTAATTTGTAATGGCTGGATGTGAGGCTGAGGGGATTTGACATCCGTATTGGGTTTGCCCTGATGGCTTCATAAGAGAAAAGCCACCTGCAGCTCACCCTGTCCTGCTTGCTGCGGCGCCTGGAGGGAAGGAAAGAATCTCCTTTTGTGCTGAACTTCTTTAATGCACTTTCCTGATCATTTCTGCGATAATTGCCACATGCCTTAACTTTGCAGGAAAGGGAAAGTACACCTGAAATCTTCTTCTGGAGTTTTATTGAACACTGTTGGAAGACTCGTAAGCTGAAGTTTAAAGCCGACTGTGTTTTGTTTCAGTACCGTCCAACATGTCAAGTCATTGTTGCTGAGACCAGTTTCCAACTGCAAAGAATGTCGTCCGCTGAATTTTTTTCAGGCGTCAGGTTTTATAACTCTGCTTTCCAGGCCAGAGGGACTCTGATAAAACTTTATGTCCACAACTGCTAATGGATCTTCTGGGGGTTTTCACATCTGACAGTCCAGTAGTCTGGGTTTTATTGGGGACCAAAACTGCAACATTTGCTACATTTTCAGCTTTCAAACTGCCTGGTGTTGTGTATAGAACTACTACTGTCTCTTGAAGCCCGGTTCAGAGGATGATGTCATGACTCAAATGTGTCCTTGAACTTATCATTGCTGACTCATCTTGAATGTATCACCATGCTTGACAGTAGATAAAGTGTTGTTAGGCTTAAGAGCCTCACCTTCGCTCATTGTTCTTGTCCTTCTTGTCAACGTTTGTCTCATCCGGTTGTAAACTTTTCCTTCAGAAAGAACTGGGCTTGTCCAGATGGATGTCTGTACATTTAAGTTGAGCTAGATGTCGACTTTGGATCCCTCTCTTCACAACCACCTTGGACAGTAACTCCGGGGTTCAAACAGTTTCCAGACCTGAGCTTTGGTGGTTGCTCCTTTGTATTTCTCTGACATTGAAAGTTTAGCTCCTTTTTTCATAGTTTGGAAAAAAAAAAAAAAAACAGGACCTAAAACATCTGGATAACTTGAACTCATGTTCAGTTGTTTGAACCAGTGATCTTGGCGTCTTCAGATGCTTAGAAATGGCTTTAAAAGACCTTGTCAGGTTTTAAAAATCTTCTACTCTACATCTTTGAGCTTCACTAAATTCCCTGACTCTTTTGTCATTATAACAATTGACAGCCACAAGTGTCACTCAACTCAGAAGTTATGCAATTTCGCGCCTATAGCTTGTTTCAACGTTTTTGTCTCAAGCGACACATTTGCACGAGTAGCGAAAAAATTGTGGCTCGACTTGAATCACGTCAATATACTTGGTCATTATGTTGCGCTTCGTTAAATGTTTGTGCATTCGTGTGTACACAGACACGCGTCTGGATGCCAACTGCACTCTCAAGCTGGCAGCTGACACTCTGCTTGTCTGCTAACCCCCACGCCCGAGTCGGGCAATCTCTCCCCCTCATGATATCCACCCCTGTCTGACTCCGTTTGCTCCTTCCTGTCTGCACCGGCTCCTCGCCAGCCCTGGTACTGCGTGCACTTGAGTGAACTCGCTCCTCTCTAGGTTTTGAGTGGCCTCTCTCAGCATGGGCGGGCGACTCGACGAAGGGAACATGGTGGGTTGTGTTAATGGAAGCTCAGGGTGCGCTCCACGGAGAGTGTCACAGGCACACATGTCCACATTCAGCCGTCCCCTCAGGGGAATACTGTGTCTTTAACCAGATCTGAACATATGCCCACTAACAGGCTCTGTGCCCCAGACTAAGTTGCACTAATTATGACTAAGCTGTGTGATAAATGCCGCGCAGTCACCAGATAAATACATATGCCACTGCTTGCCGAGAGGGATGCTGGACGTTGTCAAACTTGCGACCCGTTTTTGTTATCAATATTAAGTGTTTGGAAAGAAAGAAAACTGTGAAAAAGTTTGGTATTCTGTTAGTCCTTGAAACCAACATGTTGATAGTTTTTCTGTTTTCTGAAAATGTCTTTCAAATGTTTTTATCAAAAGCTTAAGGCTTTTATTTTATTTTTTACCTATTTGTTAAAACTTCAGCATGTTGTGACGCTGTAACGTAAGACTGGTGATCTGTGAATAGATCGATCTCCCCCACTGTCTCCTTGAGTTATTATTGCTGACTGAAGAAATCCACATCTCCGGACCAAAACAATCGGAGCAAGAAGGAGGGTTTTATCTTTGTCAATCAATCTTGTGTATATGCTGCTAAATCTGTTAGCGGCAGAGAAACAACTTACCGTTGAAGGGAAAACCGTAAAGGGAAGTACAATAATATACATTTTCCACGGTACTATAAATTGATGATTAGTTACCTTGTCATAGTTACGTAGGTATGTCACTTGAAATCCGGGTGTCTGCGCCGCCTTCAGAAGTCTTAAATTTGAGTTGAAAAATCCTGCAAAACCTTGTAGAATAAACAACCAAATTCTTTGACCTCAGAGTGATTTGAAGCTCTCACAATGATCAATGGTTTTCCAAGCTGCTGCAGCTCCAAATATTAGGATATTGTGAAAAGTTAAATATTTTTTAGCACTCATGTCAAAAGTAGAACTTATAAATCATATAGATTAAATACTATTTCTAGCTTTTATTTCTTTTTGTCGATGATGGAAAACCATAATTAAGAGTGGAAATTATATAACTTCGGATCGATTTAAAAAAAAGAGGATATTCTTAACAGAAATGTTAGGCTTCTGAAAAGTATGCTAACTTTCATTCACTCAGTCCTCGGATGAAATTCCTTTTGCATTAATCACTGCATCAATGCAGCATGACACGGAGGTGATCAGACTGTTTGGTAGCTCGAAGTGTCAAACAGGATTGTTGGGTCTGGTGTCGATCATCTTCCTGTAGACAACACTCTAGAATCTCTGTTGGGTTCGGGTCAATCAAGCGCAGTCACACCCCGGTCACTGAACCTCTTGCTCGACTCGTTTCTCACTGTTCTTGCTGGAGTGCGACTGAAACCTGGTAGGAATCATGCATGATTCACTCCCTTCGGACGGCGACTTGCACCAGCTAATGGCCTGGTTGTGAAACTCATGCTTTCTGTTTTAGCTACTGTTTATGTGATTAGGTGCAGACTGTCTTTTATGAACAGTTTGGCGAAGCCTTGCTGTTTGCTCCTTAATTCGCTCATCCTGTGCATGGGCCAGTTTTGCAAAGCACCAAATACGCGCTGACACAAACACGGCCATCGAGGCAGCAGACGTGAGCAGTTTGTGCTGTTTGTTTTTTGTTTTTGTATCAGGTCCCGGTTGTCTTTTCTTCAGCAGGAAACAGAGCAGGTGTAAAAGTGCCAGAGAAATGACAGAAAGTAATTCTTACCTTTAAACGACTGACTCAAAGATAAAACATGTTGAATTTAAAATGCATCACACTGTGTCCCTAGTACATATAATGAATCCTGTTATCTTGTCTTATTGGATGAAAGGGAAGTCTTTGTTTTTTTTTTTTTTTTTGTTGAGCATTGCAGAAATTCCTCGGTGGGCTTCATCGGTGTTGGAGCATTTCACTCACAGAGCTAATTTGTTTACGTTTTCTGCATGTGGACCAGAGTGAGGCCTGTGGAATATTTACAGCAACTGCAAGGATTTTGTGCAGCCCTAATTAAACTCTTTCTAAAATGGAAAGTGTTAGCTTCAACACTGATGTTACCTTGTTTTTTTTGACTGATGTATGCGATGCTAATTTGGGTTATTTTTGGCTTCTTGTTTCTGTAATATTTGCCGAAGCACATGGCATTTCGGGTGTTTTTCTCAGATTTGCCTCTCATCGTCTATCACTCTCGCTTGCAGTTGTGAAGCAAGCAGCAAACTTAGGGTGGACTCTGTGACCCTGACGTCAGTCAATAAGAAAAATGCTTTGATCTGCATCTTGATCAGATTAATGCTTCTAGCATGGTTCTGATTTACCCTGTGAAGTCAGGCTAAATCAACGTGCACGGCCCTTAATTCTAGGATTATCTATTTATCTTAGGGTTTTGAAATGTTTGTTATTGTCCATATAATTTAGTATTTGTTTTATGGTTTTCTGCACTTGAGACTGTGAAGACCCAATACATCAGACAACTAAAAGTGACAGAGTGTACTGTCCCACATTCCTAGCTGAAAGTTTTGTTTCATAAGGATGTTCCTGGTTTTACTGACTCTGGCAGAGTTTGCTTATGATTCAAAGGCTAACAAATCATCTGTAGTGTCTGTAATAGAGAAGCTGTAATTTCAGCGACTGAGCAGCGTTAATGTAAATCATCTTGTATCTATGGCTACACATCAGCAACTTTACACAGGCAGTTTGAACATTTCCTCTGACCTCTCAGAAACAGCTTCACTGCATTTGTTTGACTATATTAAGTCTGTCGAACATGA